CTCGGGGTCTGCCCCCGGAGCCAACTTTCCAGCCAGTGGATAGTGGAGGACCCAAGGCGACAATTGGCCAGTTTCTCGAAGAGGTGATCATGGGAAACCAGATCAAAGGCTTTTTTGAAGTCAAGATATATGACATTACATATTAGATATGAACACAACTATATGAAAATGTAAGCTGGTGACAAGTATAAGAATTAGATTTATAGTGCTAGTACTCTCTGGCTTTGGCTCCATTTTCATGTTATATTTAGGCTATAGAAGATGAGCTTCTATGACAGGGGTGGGCAAAATATGGCCTGCAGGCTGAATCCAGCCCACTAGGCACTTTTATCCGGCTTGCGGCGCTCCCCACAACAAATTGTGCACCACCCAGCCCTTCCCTGCCCCCTCCCCCCTCCATGAGGCTGGGAGTGAGGCACCCACGTGTACACCCCCTCAACATACCCTGTTGTGCCTTGCTCCCACCCTCTTGGGTGGAAGGGCTCTGCCCAGCCAGCAGCAGCTTCCAGGCGGCAGACTCTGCCCCCTCCATCAACATATACATACACCTCAACATACCTTATGCCCCCCTACACAACCACACCCTCTCAGCCCCGCAACACTCCCACACCACACCATACACACGCACACATACACCCATCCACCCCCACACACTCCCCCCATGGCATGCAGCCCCCACTGCGGGCATGGGGCACAAAGGCCCTGTGATCAGATGTGGCCAGCAGTGTACCGGGGGTGAGCAGCGCAGCCCCAGTGCAGCTGGCCCAGCCACCTGTATCACAGGGGCTCAATGTGGCTCATCTACAGCTCCCACAGTCGCAGCAGGGAAGCCCTGTGCTGCACTCCATGGGGAAGCAGGGGGCAAGGCTCCTTCCACTCCCAGTGGAGTGCGGGGACCTGTGCAGCAGGGGGTGGGGAAGGCAGCAGGCTCCAGCGCAGGGCTTCCCCCTCTGCGAGTGCTGGAGCTGCAGGCGGGCAGCGTGGGGTCCTGGTGATAGAGGCAGCTGGGTAGGCTTTGCTTCCTCCCCCTATGCAGCGCTAGCCAGAGCCGTGTCCCACCAGGTGCCTGCGCTAGGCATGAGTGTCCTGACCTGCCCGCCTGCTGCTGCTGCCAGAGAGCAGGGGCTGCACATCATGGGGGGAGTGGGGGGGGGGCCCTACACCCTCCCACCCTCCTTCACACCTCACACACCCACACCCTGCCCAGCTAAGCACCACACTCCCACTGCCCCTCTGATGGGATGAGTAAGAAGGGAATGAGAGCACCTTCTCACAAGCCCCGCCACACCTCATCATACACACACACACACACCCACAGCCACACCCCACAATACATATGTCACAACCCAAAGGGTGTGATTTTTGTTTTTGTGTGTGCTTTGGCACCACTGAATTATTTTCCCGCCAAATTGTAGCTCTCTTTGCAATGTGCATTTCTTCTTTGCAGCTAAGAAATGCTGGGTGCAAAGAGTTCCCGCCATTTGTATGATAATTCGAGCCCCATTATTGGATTGAGTTAAATTATTCACATGTGGCGGCTAGTGATTGGCTTGCTAGCCGTATAAAAGGCTTGGGTGGTTTCCGCCCAAGTTGGAGAACTTGGAGCCTCTAGCCTCTCCCCGTCACCGAGCGCAAACCTCGACATATCCCTCTCCCTGTGCGCAAAAAAAGGACCCACGGAGCCTAGCAAACTTCGTGAGAGTGAATTGTGAGTGAACAAAAGGATCCACGGAGCCTCAACAACTCCGTGGGAGTGATCCGAGTGTTGTCTGAGTCCTCAAATGAGGATTTAAGCGGAGCTGTGCCTGGGAAACTGTCCAGCCTACACCGTGACCATCTTCGGTGTAAGTAAACAATCTTTAAATCAACCATTACGTGTCCGTGCCTAATTCCAGCGTGTCGCCTGTTCTCTCCGACCCAGCAAGCCCGGGCTGCTGGCCACAGCCCGCGCGGCGCGAAAAAGGGCCCGGATCGCTCCCCGCTGCCCGCACATGGCGACGAGGATGGGATCGGGAGACGGCCCGCACAACATACACACAGTATAAAAGTGACACTGTTTCTGAGTTATTATGCAATCCCTTTAATATATAGTACACAATTACAAGTCATGACAAATATTTTTTGTAATAAAATTAAAATATAGTAGGTGCTTGACTTCTAGTGTATGATTTGGTTTTTTTCTGGTTCTAAGATCCCCCTCCTGAAAAGGAGTACTGAGGGGGGCGGGAGGAGTAAACAGCAAGGGGAGGGACAGCAAAGTTCAGGGGTTAAGGGGCAGGAATTCCAGTCCCAATGTGGTGACCAGGGGGTGGGGCAACTGTCAAGAGGCAGGGCTACCTATGTGGCCCCCAACAGCTCACCAAAACTTCTTAAGTGGCCCTCTACCTGAAATAATTTCCTGCCCCTGTTCTTTGAGAAGAGTTTTAGTCATCAGCTACCCACCACAGACTCCCCTCTATAATAAGAAAGTATTGTTCCTCAAGCTCTATTGAAACCAGCAGTTTTGCTGGTGTGAACAGAAGTTGGTACCCATTGTAGCTATTGGTGTAGAAAACTTAGTGTAATAAGTAATTTACTGGAAGTTTTATTGTTGTAAAGGTTATCAATGACTTCCTTTATTGTGTTGGGAGATGGTGATTATTGCTGCAAGAAGGGTGGGTGGGTGAGCAGACAAAAATAGAGTTCTCTTTAAAGAATATCAGGATCTGTTAAGGCAAAGAGGAACTTGTCTGAACTATGTCATTTCATAAAATATAATTATCTCATTTGACTTTTATTAAGTTACCCACCTTTACTACACTAATTACCCTATAACAAAAGAACTGCAACATGGTCTGTAATGCAAGATTCCAGTTCTATAGCAGTTTTGATGGCATCATAAAACTCTGGTAGAATATCTGGCATATACACAAGGTCAAAATCCATCCACAATCAATTTTGCTATTAAAAATTTAAAGTAGCAGTGAACACTCAAGGTGAGTGTTTTCCTAATCATATCCCATCTGTTGAAAGTCAGATGCATATATTATTATAGCCCAATAGATCAGCCAGTTTTCCTTCCGTATTTCAAAAAATCCTCAGTGTAAAGTAAGTTCCATGGGTTTCAGTAAGCTTCATTGGTTAATACTGCAAGTCAGTGTAGCTATACTGCTTTAACACAGCCAAACATTTAGTCCTATAAATGCATCTTTAGATACTTGTTAAGTGGCAGTGTTTGCAGTATCACAGCAATACTGCTTTATCAGTTTGTATGAACTCCAGGATAAAAGAGCTCTCTCCTCCAAAAAGCAGATGGCTGACACGTTCTTGAGAAGATTTTAAAAGTTTCATTTTGAGGAAAAAGAAATCTCTTGGGCTATCAGGATTGTAAAATTTAATATATCCTTATAGCTGTTTGCATTATAAAGGCCAAGACAAAATTTTGTTTTATAGATATTTTAGCACATATGCATTAAAGGGTTTTCTCTGGTTTATTTTTTTAACAGTTGACTGTCACGGGATCGGGTCCTCAGGGATGGCCGTGACACCACAAGGGTTCCATGACTGTGCCAGTGTTGCCCAACGGGCACCCTTTTCCTCACCTCCCATGTCTTGCTGGTAATTATAATAAATAGGGAGGCTGCCCTTGAGTTTGTGTTTGGATACAGTCCTGATGGACCCCACTGAACCCTGTGGGTTTGTGGACCCCTTTCGGGTCCTGCTCAAAATGGATGCCTCACGGGACATCCTCAGCCTTACAGGTTAGATGTGTGGCTCCAAACCACCCCTTTACCACGCTCCAAGCTTCACAGATGTTGTCTTCTTGTGTTGAAGCCTCAGCTTTGTCCGGCCTCAATAACTACACCCTCTGGCGCTGGGCTCTCCGCAGCCCTGTCTTGGTGCCCAGTGAGGCCTCCTCCTTCCCCAATAGCTTCAGCCTGGTCCACCAGTTTATAAACAGCAACCAAAATACAAGCCCCTGGGCTATAACATAATACAAGGAGTTCAGGGTCCCTTTAAAAGAGTCAAACTTCCCCCCAGCACTAAGTGCCTTGTAGGTCAGGGCTCCTGGTGAGCTCCTGGAGCCCCTTAGTCCTACCAGAAGCAGAACAGGCAGTCAAGCATCTCCAGTTAGCTTCCTCTATGAGAGCTCCTTCCCCCTTGGCTGCTGACAGAGAACTAACCCTTTAGTCCCAGCCCTGGGGTTTATATGTGCTCAGGGCCCTGCCTCTTCCAGTCAGCTGACCGGCTGCAGGTGCAGGATAATTCCCTCATTAGCCTGCTGCCACAGTAACCTGCACCTGTGGGGTTCCTGCCTGACTGCTAGGGCCCTCTCCCTAGGCAGTTTCTGCCCTTAAAGGAGCAGGTACCTTAGTGCCCTGAGACATTGACCTAGTGCGTTGTAATCTGGATAGCTTCCTGGCCAAAAAAACCCAAAAACATATGCTTATAATCTATTTGCTGAATAATATATCAGCTAGGACATAAAAACTCCATCCCTTCTGCCTTCCCCCTGCAGCTCTTCAGGTGTGAGCAAGCTTAACAGGTCCAATAGTAAAGATACTACCAGCCTAAATAGTAGTTTATGCATTCTGTTTAAGAGATAATTTATTGCACTCTATTCATGTAGTTATACAATCTAAATCACTGCTATATAACCTAATTATTATATTACAATGATGGAGGCTAGAGGACAAATTGCCTGATGGAATAAATTAGTTAAGTAAATCAAGCTGTGCTTCTTTTACATCACCAAAAATGTGACCCTAATAATGAAACATATTATTTGGAGAGACATGATTTTATGTATACCTATTAGGAGATGGATTCTTCAAGCTGGAGATGCAAAGTGACTAAGTCTCTTCAAAGAAAGCACTAGCATATTCACTTTTGGAAGGTTAAAGAGAGTCTAGGAAGCAACAAATGATTCCAAATTAATTGCTCATATTTTACCAAGTATACGTCTCATCTCTCCCCGTATATAACAAATAAAAATGAACAAATTCAGTCCAGCAATCATACTTTTCCATTAGTGACTGCTGCAATCCAGTCCCTGTACACAGAACTTCTGGTGTAGACTGTTGGCGACTCTGGATGACAGTTGTCATTACCCCAGTTCACACCAAGCAGATGATAACATCCACTGATCATGCAAGTCAGTGGCCCTCCAGAATCTCCCTGCAGGGAGGAAGGGGAAAATTTAAAAAACAAACTCACTGCCACAACTTGTAGGGAGTCAAAAGGATTTTTAAATAAATCCCTTGAGCTACAGACATCTGTTCCAAGCTCTAACCTCTTGCTAGAGAGCTATCTTTGCACCATTACTAGGTCTGAAGTACAGTATTCATAACTGCCACTAGTTACATACTATACAGGCTGTTGCTCCAGCAGCTCAGCCACATATGTTAGTACTTGTAATATCCTTTTTCCAGTAGTTCACACAAGTTTCACTGGAGAGGAGAGGTACCACTGTCTGCTGCAGCCTGGTGAATGAAGTAATGTAGATTAGAAATTACCATAAGTCAGGATGAAAAAAAGATTATCTGTTTAAGAGCTGTATTGTGCCTGTCATCCTTTAACTTCTTCAGCCATTACAGATATCTCTAAGGACACCATGCAACTTAGGAACAAGTTTTGGCAGAGATGATTCCCCTTTTACACATTTGTAGAATCTTACATCATTACACGTTCATTTGCAAACACTACATGGAAGGGATCTTGTATCCATTTTCAGGAGAATGAGAAATCTCAAGCATGTAGGCATCGACCACCAGTTCTACCTAGGCCCTCAAGGAAGGGTTGAGCCTTGGAACCAGAATTGTGAACCTCTGCACTAAAGAATGAACTAAAGAAGCCCATTAGCCAGAAGTAGTTGTAGAAAGACAGCTTTTCATATGGACCAGCCATTACCAGGGGAAAGAGGCCTTCTATCAACTCTAGTTTGGTTACACAAACGAAGGTCTAAAAAGATTTCCTGGTCACTAATGTAACATGATCACTGGAAAATAATTAGGATCTAAGACCAGACCTTTTACTCTCCAAGTTGAAATACCAGTAAACCCAACAGGAATGAAGCCTTCAGACAGGCAAATATCTAGTTTCTATCATTTCTTCTGACCGCTTCTGCCAACTCAGTATTACCACTTCAGACTTGTCAGAGTGAACTTCAGCCAGCTAGCCCTCTGCCAAGCCAGGATCTCTGGCCAACTCTAATTAAGGTCCTTGTAATATTGTTCATTGAGGTTATAGCACTCTCTCATGTGATATATTTTACTTAAAACTAGTCTAGGAAACAGGTAAATGTTTCTGGCTATCCAGTGTGAGACTGCAACAAGAGAAGAATGATCTACTGAAATGCCCTTCCAACCTCTCCTGCTAAAACAATGGTATAAAACTGGATTACCCACATCCCATTCATGTGACCTGACCCAACAAGGTCAAGTCAGTGGGTCCGGATGCTCTCCACCCCAGGGTGCTGAGGGAGCTGGCTGGGGTTATTGCAGGGCCCCTGGCACGGCTCTACGAGCGATCGTGGTGCTTGGGCCAGGTGCCAGACGATTGGAAGGTAGCTAATGTGGTCCCCATCTTCAAAAAAGGGAAAAGGGAGGACCCGGGCAATTATAGGCCCGTCAGTCTTACCTCAATCCTGGGGAAGCTCTTTGAGAAGATCATCAAGGAGCACATTTGTGATGGGCCGGCATCCGAGATGATGCTCAGGGGCAATCAGCATGGATTTATTAGGGGGAGATCATGTCAGACCAACCTGATTGCCTTTTATGATCAGGTCACAAAGGCCATGGATGCAGGTGTCGCGGTGGATGTAGTCTTTCTGGACTTCAGCAAGGCCTTTGACACCGTCTCTCACCCCATCCTAATTAGTAAACTAGGCGACTGTGGCATAGATGCCTACACGGTCAGATGGATTGCAGATTGGCTGAAGGGTCGCACTCAGAGGGTGGTGGTGGATGGATCATATTCGACTTGGGGGGAGGTGGGTAGTGGAGTCCCTCAGGGCTCGGTCCTGGGCCCTGCGCTGTTCAATGTCTTCATCAGCGATCTTGATGTTGGGGTGGAGAGCAACCTGTTTAAATTCGCTGATGACACCAAAATTTGGGGGGAGGTGAGCACGCTAGCAGGGAGAGAGAGATTGCAGAAGGATCTGGATAGGTTACAGGGGTGGGCAGACAGGAACAGGATGCGTTTCAATACGGACAAGTGCAGGGTGCTGCACTTGGGTAGTAGGAACCAGCAGCACACTTATAAGATGGGGAGCTCCCTACTTGAGAGCACGGAGGCGGAAAGGGATCTTGGTGTCATTATTGACTCCAAGATGAACATGGGCCGACAATGCGAGGTCATGGTTGGCAGCGCTACCCGGACCTTGTCGTGCATCCACAGGTGCATCTCGAGTAGAGCCAGGGAGGGGATCCTCCCCCTCTATGCGACGCTGGTCAGGCCGCAGCTGGAGTATTGTGTCCAGTTCTGGGCGCCCCATTTCAGGAGGGATGTGGACAACATGGAGAGGGTCCAGAGGAGGGCCACCCGCATGATCCGGGGACAACAGGGCAGACCCTACAGTGAGAGACTGCGGGACTTGAACCTATTCAGCCTCCACAAGAGAAGGCTGAGGGGGGACCTGGTGACCGTCTATAAACTCACTAGGGGGAACCAGAAGGGTTTGGGGGAGACGCTGTTTCCCCTAGCCCCTGCTGGCATAACAAGGAATAATGGGCACAAGTTGATGGAGAGGAGGTACAGATTGGACATCCGAAAAAACTACTTCACAGTCAGGGCGGCTAGGAGCTGGAACCAACTTCCAAGGGAGGTGGTGCTGGCCCCTACCCTGGGGATCTTTAAGAAGAGGCTGGATACTTACCTGGCTGGACTCATTTGAGTCCCGTTTTTGTTTTTAGGGTGAGTGGTTTTGTTTGTGTTTTTGGGTTGTTCTCCCGCCCTGGCGGGGGGTCGGGCTAGAAGATCTATTAGGTCCCTTCCGACCCTGAAACTATGAAACTATGAAACAGGTTACTTGTTATGCTGGGGTGGTTGATTCTGTCTGGTTTTGACCAGGAATTCCACCTGAAACCAAGAAAACTGTTTTTCATATACATTTTATAGCAACTACTGTTTTTTCACAAATATTTTCTGTTATAAAAGTTGCATTTTCTAACAAAAAAAGATTCCTGACCAATTCTAGTCATAACTTAAAATAGGTGAATAGCCTACTTTTTGCATTACTTATTTTCCACTAGATGTTTACCACACAAAGGGCTAGAACAAGTAGGAAGAGATGGTTGAAACCTTAAGTAAACAACATTTACTTCCTTCAGGAGCAATTAGAGGGTTGATCTATAGGAAATTAAAGGAAAAACCACATCAATTAAAAATTATTTTGTATTAGCTGAGCTAATTCAGTGGATGAAGCTATCCAGTAAAGAAAGGGAGAAGGTACAAAGCCTCTTTTCAAAAGTTCTTCAGAAGATTTTGGAGCATTCCATAGGGCACTGCAGCCAACAGGTCACATGGCCTTGTGACAGACACCCCTACCTTCCTCTGGGGCCCCAGCTAGACAGACTTAAAGAAAAATTAGTAATTGCAGAATAGGTTGTCTTGCCTTCCAGTTCCTGCTCATGCCATCAGATAAAGATGACCATCAAGACTCATCTTCAAATGAGTGTAGGACAATTCCTTTAGAAAATTGTGTATTTCAATATATTTCTAAAGACCCCTTCTTTAAAAAAGATTTTTGGAATAAGCAGACTTAGAGCAATAGCTCCCAAACTTTTCTGACTAATGGACCATCGCTGTCAACCCTCAATTTCTCACGGCTGAAGGCAGGATGGGAGCAATGTAATTTGGAGACCAGTTTGGAAACACTGATTTAGAGCCTCACTTACCCTTGCTTTTGAGTTCTGTCGCATTCTGTGACAGGGGCAAGCTTTCATCCTGGTGCAAGCACCGGCCTGCTCCCTATCTATGGGTCAGGCACCCGCCTCATTCTCCTGCCATGCCTTGATGTAATGATATTGATGCGATAATTAGGCGGGAGGCTGCCCATTATACACCACAATATTATGGGGGGTGCTATCTGTGGCTCTGTTCCACCCCTGCACAATGGCCCAAGCATCACAGATGGCATCTCAGACAGCCAACTCAACCATCCCCTTCGCCCATTAGCTGTGGCCCCTTCCCTGGGACCTTTCTCTTTCCTTTAAACCCTGGTCTGGTCTCAGGCCAGTCAGGACCTGAGCTTCTCTGCTCTGTATGGGAGTCCCTTGCAGTAGGCCCCTGGCCCTTTTGACCCCTATCTGGGTCCTGGCCCCAGCATTGACCAGTCAGGTTAGGTCAAAGCCTTCTGCCTGAAGGCATGGATCAGGGTCCCCCATTTCCAGCTCAGGTGCTTCACAAAGTGTGCCTGGCCCCATGGGGTCACTCACCCCAGCAGGCTCAGGCACTACAAGAAGCTTACCTGGCCTTCCCTAGATTAGATGGATCATATAACCTACCTGAAGGTGAGGGCTGGAGTTAAGGCACCCCCACCCACCTTTCACCAGGGTGGTAACTGGCTTGGCATTTTCCTGGGGTCCCTGTGCCACTGGGAGCCCCACCAGAGCACCCACTCCTGGCAGGGTACAGTTTTAGGTCAAGCCCAGGACCAGAGCCTCCTGCTCCTACCTGCAAGATGTTCCCATACAGCAGCTCAACCAGGCAATGTTTCTTGCCTGCCTCCCAGCAGCAAACTGCTCTTGTTTATATAGGTGACCAGAATTCTAAAATGGCTGCCATAATCAAACACCTGACTGTTTGATCTAGCCCTTAAAGTGGCAGACACCACTGGTGCCCTGCCACACACTCCTGCTCTTTTGTGCCAGCCATTGGTCACTGCACTCTTCAAATGGAAGCCTGAAGCCTCTGTTCCACACAGACCTATCCATCTTGAAATACAAAGTCAAATAGCTGCTGCTTGATAGAAGGCTAAGCTACTTTTGTTGGGCACATAAATGAGCTGCAAATTACAAAGGCAGCACTTACAGTCAGTAATATAGTAGATGCATCCCAGATTGCACTCAACTTATTTCTAGGACAGCCACATTTCTTTAAAGTATAACTTAAGCCAGTCTGATTCTCCCACTCATTTTAATGGAAATCAAGATTGCCATCATCTATTCTGATGTCTTTTGCTAGCTCTGCTAAGATCTCAAATGAATTGCTCAAGGTTGCCCATGCCTCAAGCTAAGCTGTTTGCCACGCTACAGGAGAAATAATGTAAAAGGAATATTGCAAGTTCCTTGAAAAAGAGGATAGAAATATCCCTCCCGAGAATATTCAGCTGTTAACTGTCTTTGGAAGAATTCTTTGTCAAGCACCTTGCATGTGTGTGTAAAGCATAATAAAATTAATGGACTTGACCTTTAAGTATCCTTCCCAAAAGCCCCAGAAAAGAAGCCATGTTCAAGCACAGCACTTCTTGCAGTCTAAGATATTCCTGATCTTGTTATACCCAGACAACAACATTATCTTCATTATTTAACATTTAAGCAGAAGGCAGGGTAGAGGTGCATCTTATATGGTGCATCTCTACCCTACCTTCTGCCTAAATTCAGACTAATATGGCTAAATACCTCTCTCTCCAATACTAAGAGTAATATTAGCCCATGATTTGCATTTAAAATCAAATGTATACATAGAATAAATCAGAAGATTCGTAAAACTCTAGAAAGGTACAGCCCTCCCTCATACCCCATAGTATTTCAAACAATAGCTCCTTCTCCATTAAATTATGCTATGAGTATTCCTTGTAAACCCACCTTGCTCCCACCTTGTGTACAAAGGGGTACATATCACACATTCTTATTACCTTTAGAAAACCTACACTTACCTCATCCTTTTCCACATATCTACATGGGAAGCTGAAGAAGATACTCCCTACACAGGGAATATGTCAACTTCCCTTTTGTTACAAAGAGAGATGTGAGAAGCATAAGATTGTAGATTTAAGGTCTAAATCAACCTACCCAGCAGCCTTGAATGATGGTTTGGTCCATCATAAATGTCTAAGCAAGCCCAAATGCAGTCTCTTGCATTCTCTAGTCTATTTCAAAGTGTTTGATCTCAATTTTCAACCTATATCCTGAAATAGAATAGACTCTCCAACTGCAGTTCAGCATGTTCTGACAAGAGTTGGGGTAATTAGGAGATGCTATTTCAACTGATCCAACTGAAATTAAATCCAATATTAGACAAGCTAAAAAAATAAAAGCAGGAGTAGTTGCAGTGGATGAGACTATGCCCTTCCAGAAATCTGTCTTCTTCAACATCTATTAACATCTGAATGGAATACAAAGCAAAACAAACCAACCTGACACTGTGCAATTCTTCTAACAAGAAAAAGAAAAAGAAAAAGAACCAGAGGCCTTAAGCAGGGAATAGAAGTTCTATGGACTGTTTAACAAAACTGGCTACAATTTGGAAAGTTCACTGAACTCTTAAGGTGCAGACAGAAGCAACAATTTTCACCTGATCTGGCCCCTGAAAGCACTCTACAGCCATGACCAAACACAACTGCACAGCTGCAGAGTGCTTTAAGAAGGCCCAGTCCCATGAAAATCTGAAACCTATGGCATGAGGGTTCAGATGAAGATGTTCCAAAATGGAGTGGCTTCAATAAATTACACCTGTGTCGACCCTCAGGCCAAGCCCTGTTTTCAGAATGGGAAGGGGGAAAGGGAGCAGAGAGACTTAGGTCTGGGGTTTTTTCAGCTGTTACTGGAACGTGGGATGGGTGGATTGGACCCTCCCCACCTCAAGGGTGCTCTAATCCATCTGCCCTACCTTCCAGCACTGGCTGGGGAACCCCCAGAATTATCTCCCTCTGCTCCCTTTCCCCCCTTCCATTCTGAAAACAGCACTGGGGCTGGGAGGAGGGAAGGGTGTTGCTAGGGGAGGGTAGCTGCAAGCTTGCAGCTGCTTTAAACAGCAGCTGGATTCCCCAACCCCCAGGACCCAACAGAGAACTTCTGTTGGGTCTGGGGATCCTTGCAACTCATGACGCTTCCTGTGAAGCACCATAAGTTATAACAGGGAGCTGCTCTTCTGTCTGTGCTGTTAGGTTCCTGGCACACATTCATTTAAAGGTGCCATGGGATCTGATCCTTGATCCCAACAGTTGTGTCTCCTGCCATGCCATGTGCATGGCAGGAGGCACAGTTTAGGGGCCAGATCTCAAATCATACCATTTCTACTTGCTAGTGCAGGGGAAGGCCAGGATCATGATTATGGGCTCCTTCTCCATCTGCAAGTTGAAACCCGCATACTTGCAGCCCAGCATAACTTGGAGCTGACCCAGGATTGAAGCTAAACATCAGCTGATTGTCAGCACTAGCCCCGAGGCAACCCCAGACATGCTACATGTTCAATTTAAGGCATTATAAAAACAGCCATAAAAATGTTCTATATTATACGAGTAACATTTTTGTTACTGACTTATTTTATGACACCTTAAATTGAGTGCATGTGTAGCAGCCTTGCCATTTATGCTGCAATTAACATCTTAATTGCAGCATTAACTGTAACATGGAGATGGATCTTGGAGAAAAAAGCCAAAGACCAAACACTGTGATCATACAATAGATAGAGCACCTTAGCTGTAAAGTACAATTTCTCATTGGACTAACTGGCATACATCCATTAGCTTCAGTGGACTGAAACCAATGATGCACTGTCATTGTTGGGGGTTTTTAAGCAGGATACAGAAGGCTGCAGGACTGGAATTAGCAAATATTTTCCCATTTTTAATTTACGTCAGATTTGTTAGGTAACTTGTAAATAGCTGCTTCCAGTTTCAGCATCACAAACTGCTTGGCATTAAGTACTAAGTTTAAGAATGAGTAACAACATCGGACTGATAATTCTTGTGTATATTTGGTGGAAAGGCAAGGGAAGGAGAGCTGTGGGCACTGGGAACAATATGGGAATAATTGGGGCGGGAGAAATGGACATTTGGACAGGACTCTACATTTTCAAGCCTGAAAGTGTACTTCTGCTCCTGCACATTGCACAGGATGAAAACAGCCTTTCTAGTTTAGCATCCTGAACTTCTAGCTAGAGAGAGGATTATTTTCCTGATTCTGTTGAGACTCGTGATTGCTAAGGGTTTTGTGTGCATTCCAAATACCAATTCACTTCTACAGTCTTGCATGGCAGCTCATGAATACAGGAAACAAAAGAAAACAGCAGATATTGGATATCAAAAATAAATAAGTCTATTGAAGCCTCACACAGGTTGAAAGAAAGGTGACAGTTAAGCTGGCTATATTTTTCACTATATTCTCATATGAAAGCATTTGCAGCTGTTAACTTCTGCCATAATAATCTCCCAGACACGACGCAGAAGTTTTTGTAGATAGAAAAGCTATTTATGGTGTGTTTGCTCTGTCCTCCCTACAGACTTGAAAAACTAAAGTTGGTCTTACCTTTGTCATCAGGACTTGGTTTTTCTAATACTGGACCTAAAAAGGAAAGAGTTGTCTTGCTGAATGTGAACAGTTATAGGTTGTTTAAATAAACTTAAGATTCTGCTTCAGTGGGTAGACACGAACTCTTGAATATTTAGGAAGTAAAGCCAGATTGTCATGCTCTCCCTGCATGTAATATTTAGACAACAGGTTCTAGAGAAAGATGTGGTTGACAGTTATATTAATACCCCAAGATGCTAGTTTACTAAAACTGAACGTATAAACATTTATTTACTCTGAATATCCTGTTAATTGGACAAACAGCTCTGTTTTATTGCCTACCATAACAAGCAGGGGAAAGTATAAATGTATAAGGTAGGTGAGGATACAAAGCTATTTGCTTTCATTAAGAGCAAGAGGAATTCTGAAGGGACAAAAGGTTTGTCCCAGCTTGGACACCTTGATCTAAGGGGACGGAAGTACTTTGTAATTTTACAGCAACACTCACAGTATGGGAGGCATTATCTACACAAGGGATGATCACTGCTGTCCCGAAGAACTGCCAACCCAAGGGCACAAGAGCTAACTGAAAAATGGTGGGAAGAATTTTAGTTTTTTAATGAACAAATCTTAATGGCTGCATTAGGTGACAGCCCAGCAGAAGGATGGTCACAGTAGCACTCAACAGGTTGGTACATGTGGACATTTTCAGCAGAGCAGAGGGGATAGATGGTGGATAGGTTCATTCTTTTTTTATAGGCAGGGAGGAGGGGGGAAGTTTCTGTCAACCTGCATGTCTTGCTTGAATGGTTTATCAATAGCACAGTCAGGATTGGAATCAAGTGTCTAATTCCCTGATTCTTGTTCCCTGTCTGAAACATTTAGGACCCCAAACAATAAATCAATTAGCATTTTTGCAAAAGGAGGGTGCTTTTTTTTTTTTTTTTTAAATAGATGAAGTGAATATAAGACAGGGGGCAGCAACGTTTTTGGGCGGAGTGCCAAAAATACCTGCAACCTTGACTTGCAAAATGTTGGGGTGCCAAAGGCAGATTGTGGGAGAGCTACAAGGGGCCCAATCCTTGTTGTGGCAGCACAGTCCCAGCCCCTTCCCCACTGTCAGTCCCAAGACATGCAAAATGCCTGCACATGCTATATTCTGGCATCTGTGCCAGGGGTTGCCCACCCCGCTACAGGAAATTCTCACTACATGTCTCAATTTTGCAATCTCGCTTCATATGCTGCCTCCATTCCTCCCCACAATAGCAAAATTGTGATACACTTACCCAGTTGTATTTCATGAAAAGAGTAGACCAGAACAAAACCTTTCACCATCATATCAGTGCTGGGAGTGAAGGTCAGTGTCAACACTGGGCCACAAGACTTTAAAGGATAGGGTGAAATGTCATCACAGAATTCAGCTGCCAAGAAGTATACACTCTTAATACTGTTAGAGTGAAAGGCAAACTATGAGACCTTATAATACAGAACTTCAAAAAATGAAATCTCAAGACACTATGGGTTTATACAGGTGTATCACTGAGGATTGAAACCTCTCAGTATATTCATCCTGAGGACACTCTGCTTTGATTAACAGACTGGGTTACAGAAGCATCCTAAAGAGATTCTATAGGATACTTTAATATGTGTATAAAAAAATAAACTGTGGCCTTTTCAAAAGAAAGGGGGTCACTAGACTTATCCTTTTTAAAGGTTAAAGATATACTGCTTATAGCCTTATAATACTTCTGTAACCAATAAGCCACTAGAGTATGACAATGCTGGTAAGTGGTTGGGTTAAGGAAAATGATGCTTTCAGACAAACTATTTTGATGACTGAAAATGTCACCCACCCCTATAATCCAATAGAGCTGCGTGGACTGCTCTGGCCATGCAGAAAGGAAGGAAACTTCACTTGAATAGAAGACAACCCTGATAAGATGACCCCCCAATAATTAGGTTCTATATATGGGAAAATTTACAAATTTGTTATCATTTTCAAGGAATAGAATCTAATTACTGGAGGTTAGCCTTGAATGTCCCCCTCCAACTGCTACAGCAGGGGAAAAAAATCTGGGGGGTTAGGTAGCTCTTTTGCTCTCTGCTTCACCCCATTTTTTCCTCTAGCAGTCCCTCCCACTTCTCCTTACTGTCAGACCCTGCTCTCCCTGAGCACATGGAAGTGAGGGACAAATTTGTAAACAATAACCTTAGAATTAAACATGGCTGTAGCAATTTGCAAACAGTACCCCTACATTTAGTTCATCCAGAATTGATGCATGCTACCTTTTTGTGACAGTGCTGCAGATTTTAGCACAGGTACTCCATAAACACACTTTTGAAAAACATTATGCATGATACTAGTCCAAAGCCAAGCTTGTCATTTGCCACATCACTCATTGGGCTGCCCCCGCATTCTCCCCTAGTCAATAGCATTTCAAGCCATGATAACCACACAACTCAGAACTGCTCAACACATGTATGTATTCCAGATACCCCCCACAAAGGATCCATGTGCTAATCAGCCCCCCACTCATGACTGAAACTGGGTGTTCTTGCACAAGTCCTGGGATCCTCCAAAAATGTATATGCAGATGAGGTGCAGGGCAGCCTGGTTCACCTTCACCTCATGGAGGGCAGGGTCCAGCTTCACATATGTGCCAGGCTGAGAGGGGGTGACAGGGGGATTCTGGGTGAACTATTTGGGGTCCCATTTTGTGATGTTTACCACACATTTAAGACTGGTGAAGAAACAGGAATCATTGGAAGTGGGAAAGAAAGGCACAGCTCAGCTGTGCAAGTGAAGAGAAAGTCTAAAAGTAGTCAATGTTGTGGCTCACCATGATTTGAAAAAGAGTTGGTGGTGAGGAGGACCATGCTTAATAGGTACTACCACATATTTATTCAAATGGGCTATACCAACCCATCTTTATGATAGGTTTTCTTTAGCACTTTTGACATCAGGAGGGTATTGAAGATTTCTAGCCTTTCCAAGTGCCAGCCTGGTATTGTAACACCTCCAAGGCTCTCATACTGCAGTAGTTCCAGACCCGGTGCTCATTCCCTCCTGGGGACCAACTGCCCCCTTTTGTTGTTGGGGGGTTTTTTTTTGGGGGGGGGTTAAGGGGTACAAAAAAAAGGTTCCATTAGCATATTTCCCCAGTGTGGGACATGTGTTTTATAGGCATGTTCAGTGTCGGCTACATTTAAATTAACTTTATAGTTGGCTTCCACTGCTGAACACATGCTGCTTTTGGCAGCAGTTTAATGATAGACAATGTATTTAATGAGGTTTTCTTGTATATTCCCCATGCCAATTGGGGGAAAAAAACTTCATCTTGTAATTGAGTAAATATGTAAGTAAGATCATTCTTCACAAAACATTCATTACGGATAGGCTAGTATCAAATTTGTATCTATTTTCCTCCTCCCGACCAAAAGATACATTCTTATGAATTTGCCTCCCCTGTACAACCCTTCCCAGCAAAGCACCAAGTCGGTATGACCTACCATAGTAATGCCACTAAGTGACTGTGTCACCTCAAAGGTTTGGTACAACAGTGGATCATTAGTAGCTGCTCTTTTCCCTTGGCATAGTTCATATGTTTGTGCACTCCCCTGATGGTTATATCTCAAGAGTAGGTTCAAGAATGGAGAGCAAAAAAAGTGTATTATATCCTATCAATGAAGACTTGCAGAAAAAGAATTCTAGACACGGTGCCTCAGGAGACCGTGTCTACCCAGCATACCTACCCCACACAGTAGCAGCACCCTCACCCAACATGTCCTGCTTCCAATTCAGAAAGTATCCTGCCCAGAGCAATACAGCATCCTGGAGGGAACTGCTGCTGGGGATGGTAATTTTTACTGTATCAACAGAGAAGGTTAGTCTTTCATTGCATCACTACCAGTTTCATCCCCGATGTATATTCTATCATAGAAACATCTAAAAAGGAAGCGATGCTAGCTAGCTAATAAACACTCCCTCCTAAAGTCAGTAAAGAGCAAAGCAGAGTTGGATTTTCTCTTTTTAAGCAGCAGATTGCCATGTGTATCTCTCCAGTGCCCTGTTAAGAAAATTGAATTCAGGACCTCTGGGCCTCTTCCATTCCCAGAAATATCGAAAAAAGGAATCTCACCTATCAACTGTTCAGCTGTCCCCAGCCCTTCATACACCCTGTGCTGGCCCTGGCAATCAGTCAGAGTCTGCTCAATCCAGAAGTCTAGGAAATCTAGTCAAATGACAGATTTTAATGGGACTACAATTCTCCAGTGGCAACTGCAGCACAAAGGCAAAGAGGAATAGGAACAAACCTCATGAACACTCAATCATATCCATCTTATAAGTGGCTCATGGAAAAAAAACCTGATGTTCAAGCCTGCTGTAAAAATTGGAAATTGAATCCCAAGCTATAAAGGGAGACTCAAATCCAACCTGGAATGCTGGTTTGAATCCATTTTTATTTCCAGTATCTGAAATAAGCTTATAGTTTTAAAATAAGTTAATAAATTATATAAAGAAACCGAAGTTGATCCAGTGCCAGCAACTTTTAAACTTCCAACACCACATGAACAGCTGCACATACCCACCACTTCATAGTTTCATAGTTGGTAGGGTCAGAAGGGACCTGAGCAGATCATCAAGTCTGATCCCCTGCCATGGGCAGGAAAGAAAGCAAGCAAGCTGGGGTCAAACACCCCCAGCCAAGTGATTATCTAGCCTCCTTTTGAAGACCCCCAGGGTAGGAACGAGTACCACTTCCCTTGGAAGTTGGTTCCAGATCCTAGCCGCCCTGACTGTAAAGTAGCGCCTCCTGATATCTAGCCTAAATCAACTCTGTCAACTTATGGCCGTTGTTCCTTGTTACTCCCGGTAGTGCTTGGGGGAACAGGGACTCTCCCATAGCCTGCTGGTCTCCCTTGGCCAGTTTGTAGATGGCCACCAGATCCCCCCTCAGCCTTCTCTTGTAAAGGTTGAACAGGTTCAGGTCCCGTAGCCTCCGCTTGTACGGCCTGCCTTGCTGCCCCCTGATCATGTGAGTGGTCCTCCTCTGGACCCTCTCGATGCTGTCCACATCCCTCCTGAAGTGCGGCACCCAGAAGTGGACACAGTACTCCAACTGCGGCCTGACCAGTGTCACATAAAGGGGGAGGATCACCTCCTTGGACCTGCTCATGATGTATCTGTGGATGCATGACAAGGTACAGTTAGCTTTCCTGACCATGTCCCCACATTGGCAACCCATGTTCATTTTGGAATCAATAATGACACCAAAATCCTTTTCTGCCTCTGTGCTGACTAGAAGGGAGTTCCCTAGCCTGTAGGTATGCTGCTGGTTCTTCCTCCCTAGGTGCAGTACCTTGCACTTGTCAGTATTGAATCCTATCCTGTTCTCATCCGCCCACCCCTGTAACCTGTCTAGATCTAGTTGCAGCCTGTCCCTCTCCTCCAGCGTGCCCACTTCTCCTGACATCTTAGTCTCATCCGCGATTTTGAACAGGGTGCTTTTTACCCCCTCATCCAAGTCGCTGATGAAGATGTTGAACAGTGTGGGCCCAAGGACCAAGCCCTGGGGGACCCCACTGCCCACATCCCTCCAGGTCAAAAATGACCTGTCCACCACGACTCTCTGGGTGCAGCCCTCCAGACAATTTGTGACCCATCTGACTGTAGACATCAACGCCACAGTCACCTAATTTCTTAATGAGAATGGGGTGAGAGACAGTGTCGAAGGCCTTCGTAAAGTCCAGAAAGTCTACGTCCACCGCGACACCTGCGTCCAAGGATTTTGTGACCTGGTCATAGAAGGCCACCAGGTTGGTCTGACAGGACCTGCCTCTAATGAACCCATGTTGGTTGCCCCTAAGCATAATCTCCCTTGCTGGTCCCTCGCAGATGTGCTCCTGGATAATTTTCTCAAAGAGCTTCCCCAGTACTGAGGTAAGATTAATGGGTCTGTAGTTTCCTGGGTCCTCCTTCCTCCCTTTTCTGAAAATGGGGACCACATTGGCCCTTTTCCAGACCTCTGGCACCTTGCCAGAGCACCACGAGTGCTTGTAAAGCTGTGCTGGGGTCCCACAATGACCTCTGCTAATTCCCTCAGCACTCTGGGGTGGAGATCGTCAGGACCTGTTGATTTGAACATGTCTAGTCCCACCAGAAGTTCCCTGACTAGGTCCTCACTGACCCTGAGCCTGTCAGCGCCTCCCCTGGGTCCATCAGGGATCCCAGTGGGGGGGGATGCCCTGGTCCCTGCTCAAAAAGATGGAGGTAAAGAAATTGTTAAAGAGGTTAGCTTTGTTGTCTGGTGTGACCACTAGATTTCCTAGCGTATCCTGAAGAGGCCCTATGTCACCCGGTACCTTCTTTTTACCCCCTATGTATTTAAAAAAAGGACTTCTTGTTATCCTTGATCTGGGACATTAGTCCCAGTTCCATCTCTGCCTTAGCCTTCCTAACAGCCCCCCTACAGTCCTGAGCAATGGAGGTATAATCCTCCTTGGTAATGGCCCCTCCCTTCCATTGGGTGTACACCTCCTTTTTTACTTTAAGACATTCCTGGATGCTTTTGGTGAGCCATGGGGACTTTTGAGCACTCTTGCCCCCTTTGATCCGCATTGGGATTGTCACCCTTTGGACTTAGAGGATCGTCTCTTTAAGGAACAACCACTCTTCCTGGACTCCCAACTCCCCTCCCCTCCAGGACCTCAGTGCCTCTCCAACTAGTCTCCTTACCTCATTGAAATCCGCCCTCCTGAAGTCCAGGGCTGTTGCCTTGCTGCAGGCCTTTGACACCCTCCGCTGGATGGTGAATCCCAGTAGGCGATGATCACTATTGCCCCGGTGGTCAAGAACCCGAAGACCTCTCACCAGGTCATCTCCCTGGCCAGGACCAGGTCCAACAAGGCATTCCCCTGGTGGGACTGTGCACCTCCTGGGTTAGATAGAGGTCCTGAAACTTGGCTAGGAACCTACGTGAGCAGTCAGACCTGGCTGACTGCTCTTCCTAGCAGATGTCAGGGTAGTTTAGGTTACCCATGATGACCACGTCCCTTGACTTAACTGCCTCCACGAGCTGACCTGAGAATTCCCGGTCCAGCTCTTCCCTCTGGTTGGGTGGCCTGTAGTAAACCCCTACTGTTAAGTCCCTTTCTCCCTGACCCCCTTGTATATGGACCCAGAGCACCTTAGTCTGCCCCTCCCCTGACCCAATGCTGTTTGTTGAGGATGTGTATTGCTCTTTGACGTAGAGCGCTACACTCCCACCTTTCCTCCCTGTTCTATCCCTCCTGTACAGCCTATAGCCCTTGATGTTTACCGCCCAGTCATGCGTTGGATCCCACCAAGTTTCAGTGAGCCCCATTATGTCTGGGTTAGTGTTAGTTAGCAGGAAGGCAAGCTCCTCCTGCTTGTTCCCCATGCTACAAGCATTAGTGTAAAGGCATTTAAGGCCTCCTGGAGGTGTATGCACCACCCCCCTAAACCCAGGACTATCTGGGCCCCTGTCTCTTACCTGGGTATTTCTTGTGCTCGTTGCCTGTCTTGGCTGGGCTGTTCTTGTGGGTGGCTCTTGTGTCGGTGGTCTACGGCTCCCTCTGTCCTCATCTTCCCCCTCCCCCGTTCCATGGCTCCCTCTGTCCTCATCTTCCCCCTCCCCCAATGAGCCTAGTTTAAAGCCCATCAGAGGAGATCAGCCAACCTGAAAGAGAACACGCACTTACCTTTGGGGGAGAGGTGGAGCCCATCCCACCCGAGCATGTCTCTCGTCCTGAAGTATAGGTCATGGCCCAAAACACAATGACCCCTTTCCACTGCAACAAGAATTTCTCCCACTTCACTCACCCAAAGTCATCCCAGCTAGGACTTGAACTCAGATCTTCTGCACAGTAGATAGAAACTCTACCACACAGCCACCAGCACTGGTTTTAAATTAACTGTCCAAGATATGAATGACCAGATTAAATTCCTTCTCTCACTTAAGAGGATTTGACCCTGCATACCCTGCGTCCCAGGAGACTGACCTAGCAACCAGGCTGTTCCCTTATCAGGAAAAGCTGGGAGAAGGAAGAAGCCAGAAACCAAAAGATCCTTGCAAAAACATTTTGCTGGTCACTAGTGCCCTTCAAGCACCCAGCTGAGCTATCCTCAAGGCTTGAGAAACCATAAGGAGCAGAATCTCTCTCAGGAAAATATCTGCCAGCATGACAAATGATGCCTTCTAATTGTTGGAAAGGACTCAGTTATCATTAGCCTCAATGACCAGTCCTCATAACCCCATGTACAAGGTAGATATGTTCCATAACTGCTTTGAAGGAAATTGTTCAGTTTTCTGAGGTTAGGGTAACAGGTCAACCATTCAAAGATCTGTAGTCACTTCAGCCTGTTTGTTTCTTTTTAGGGTCAAATCAGAGTCCCAAACAGTGATTATAAAGAAGTTTGCACACATACCTTGTGGTGTTAGGATTACACACATACTTTGCGGCCTTTAGGATATCCTGGTGACCGGATCATTCCTTCTGGGTCTGTGAGGATGACATCCCTACAATGTGACAATTCTTGGTTCATGTTCTTAGAAAATTTGACAGCCTTTCCATACTTTGGCCCTGGAGAAAGTCAAGACATAGGGTGCTTTTACATGTGACGGGGTTTATTATTAATCCTCACTAAATTAAATAGGTTCATTAAAATTGAAGTTATTTGTTTGATTTCAACATGTCATTGTTTGTAGGTGATAGCCTTTAAATCAAATTAAGCTCAGTGCACAATTCATAGCTGATTTGCTGCTAATTGCTGTTCTCCCTTTGGCCGGCTCCTTCAGCCAGCTGCCTCATCCCTTGGGAAGCACGGAGGGCAGCGGGCAAGAGGGGGGAACCAGGGGTGTCAGTCAGGGTTGGGTGTAGTGTACCCACTCTTCATAAAGTGGCAGCCCTGCAGTTTCATGATGGGGTTCTCAGAACCCTGCTAGTTGCTTTTGTGGCCAGAGATATAATGGGGTTTGAGGGGGAGGCATTCAAGCCGCAGCCAGCCAAAAGGTTCTTGGGGTGACCTGGCCAAGGGAAGTTCCCCACCTCCCCCCCACTGTGCTGTGGCTCCAGGGCTGCACCTGGCATCTTCACAACAACAAGCCCCACCCCACTCCCCTGGGAGTCTCCCTCCCCTCCCCACATCCCCTGCCACAGTCCCAGTGACAGCCAGCTGTAACTATAGGAAGCCACAGCTGCCTTGAAGGAAACCCCTGCCCACCATAGACGAGACATAGGGGGGGCACTGCGGGGGGCACATGCCCTCCCTTAGAGCACTGGTGGCCCCCTTGACAGCGAGTGCTCTGGCTGGTAGGGGGGACATGGAGACCGCTTGTGTCCCCCCTAAAATTGGCTCTATGCTTAGCGACCAGCCTCCGGGGGACCCCCTCCCCTGGTTGCTGGCTGGCCACTGGGGTACCAACCCCCTGGTCACCAGCTGGCCACTGGGGGACCCCCCCCAGTCATGCCCCGTTGGTGCCCCCCCAGATTCAGGAAGCTCCAGTCACCCATGCCGCCCACCCCTCCATCACCACATCCTCCTTCCCACCACTACAGACAATGTACTTAAGAGACGAACAGAAGTTTTGTGTTGCAATGAAAATTTTATTTTCATTTGAGGAAACACTCAATGGTAGGTATCAGGAACATATTCATTGGCCTAGAGAGAATGAACCCCATCGGTGGCAACCATAATATATGCAACCAGGCAATCCCTCACAATGGCTGCCCAACCAGTGTCTCCATGCTGATGGTGTGGGATGTCATGCACTGCCCACCCACGTCTCTGCCCACTGCCTCCCACACTTCCTCAGCCCAAGACTCACTGAAAACCTCTCCCCCTGGTTTTGCAACTTGAACCTCTAGTTCAGTGACCTCCACTGTGCTTTGAGGCATCAAAGGCACATTTAACAGCCAGCCTGCGTTTGCTCACATGATAGTCATCTTTTGAGGGTCAGTAATGTGTCCACCATATGGCTTCATAAGCCAGGGCTGGAGGGGGTAAGCCACATCCACTATGATAAGCAGGTGGAGTGGCAACACCACAGATCACTGTATCCGGGACTCCAGGCACATATTGTCCTTTTTCCATCAAACTAGGCAGTAGCAAGTTTCTCAACACACATGCATTTTGTGCTCTGCCTGTGCAACCTGTATAAATGTTAATGAAACAGCCCTGATGATCCACCATGGCTTGCAGTATCACCAAGGCAAATCCCTTCCATTTGTGAATGACAGGCTCACCTGTGATGGGGATAATATAGGGATGTGTGCGCTGTCCAATGCACCCACGCAGTTAGGGAACTCCATGGCCTTAAAGCCTCCAATAACTTCCAAGGGATTATTGAGGCAAATAAAGTTGTTAGCCATGATGTCCTGTAGCAGCTGGCATATCTTGTGAATCATCAGCCTGACCGTGCAGGGAGCCACACTGAACTGGCTCCTGATGTAGTGAAAGGTGGTGGGGGTGGCCAATTTCATGATGGCCATGGCAACCCTCTTATCCGGCATGATGGGTTGATGCATGACATGCTCCTGCCTCACGATTTGCGGCCCCAGCATCGAGACTATGTGATTAAATGTCTCCCGGGTCATTCAGAACTTCTCCAGCCACTGTTGACAATCCCAAAATGACAGTACAATTCACTCTCACCAGTCAGATCTGTGCGCATGGGTCCAGACCTTGTGATCATTGCTTCTTAGGTTGATCCACAGAGCCCTGTCAGCCACCAGTTCTGCAGCTGCCTCTCAGTTCTCCCAATCCACTGCACAGGCTATTGCCTGGTATAGCGAGCCGTAATTAGGTTCTGCCACATCTTTGCAACTCAGTAGAAGGTTCAGCATACCCTGCATTGCGATCAGTAGCTGCTCCTCTATGCTATCAATTGCATCCAAGGCCATCACCAGGGCATCCAACTCCATTTCGTGCTCCTCACTCACTTCAGCAAACAGATTCACTGAAGCCATGTTTGGCAGCACACAGCAGGGTGGCTGTTTAGCACACAGCACTACCAAGCTGCACTAGGGGGGTTGACCGAATAGCTAGGGCTGCAAATTAAATACAGCTCACTTTAAATTGGGCTAAAGAACAAAGAACATCCAGAAGACAAATCTGGAAAAAATGCATAATACTGTGTTTCCATTATCCAAGAATTTCCTGTTGGTTATGTAGCTCGTTAATAATGCACACAAAACCAAATACTACTGTAGTGCAACTCCAGATTTCTGCACTGTATTTCTCTATGAAGCATTTTACTGTTTGTGCCATCCCATGTGTAGGGCCCCAGTGAACCAAATTCCGTTTACTGTGTTCAGTAAATGCTTGGTTAGCAGACTTCTTTTTTGTTTGCTTACAGAAGCCCCCTGTTCTATCTGTGTCCCCCGAGATATTTTTGGAAGCAACATATTCACACAATTTAAGTTTAATTTAGGTTTCCTAGCAAACAGTTCAATTTACCCTCTATAACAATTTACCCTCTAAGATCTCTTTGGATATGGCTGTACAATCTTACTGTACCTTGGACTTTGAGGACTTTGTATTGCATACCAAATTCACCAGGGGAAAAGGAATGAAATACTGCTTTCACCACAGGCCCAGGACTCAGGATGATTATTGGAGACTGTAAGACACTGCACAGTTCAGCTAGATAATGAAACAAAACCAAGGGGAAAACCATACACGCTATAAATAATCATTCACTCAAAAAAAATCCTGTTGGCATGACAAATATTGTATCTGAATTATAAAAAAGATTAAACCCACTTTGAGGAGAACTAAGGAGAAATGGAAACAAGGTCCAATCTCACATTTAAAAGAAGTCCTAAGACTTATAGGACTCTACTTTCTGGCACTTAAAGACAAGATAGCTGGCAGAACTGCCTTTCACTGTATCCTAGATATAGTTGAGATCAAATGGATTATCTGAGCTTGCCTTTGGGTGGTCCACTTTTGAGTGGGACCTAGCAGATTCTCTGCTGTAGAACTCCTTCCATGTGAACCTCCAGAAAGTCTCTATGGTTGATTTCAGCCCGTTGTGTAGCCCTTGCTCTTGTGCAGAGAAATCTGACTTTCCTCATCTCTGGTTTCCTCTCTGCATGTATGTGTTAGGGTTTACAGAATTTCTTAGTGCAAGAATGTAGATATAGATCTGAAAATAACATTAACCCTAGGTATACCAGAAGTGAAGTCTGCATTTGGTGGATGCAAATTGCCAAAAGAATTGACAGTAGAGTCCTGCACCTTTGTCCTTTCACTATGGAATTTCATGGAGGAGGTGGGCCTCTTTTCTCACTAGAACAGACTGTAACAAAAGGGGTACCCTCCCGTAGGGGGTGTCCCGCAGTGAGCCAAAACCCAGCTGAGCCTGGGAGATTTTTTGTCTCCCTGAGGACACAAGAATGAAAGGACAGTGGGAATTATGCCTTCAGGCCCTGGGAACAGGGTCCTTGACAGAGACCCAGAATATTGCGACAAAGATTGGCAGGCAGCTGAGATCTGGTGTGAAAGGTGGGTCACTGGGGACAATTGGGGAGCAGAGAAGAGAAAGAAAGAAAGAAAGAAAGAAAGACTTTGACTTTTAAGAGACATTTATTCCCGGGTGGGTGATCACTCGGAGCTAGTAAAGAGCATGTACAGGTACGCCCGGATATCTGGGCCTCATGGACAAGGCCTGGGCTCATGGCCTGCAAGGCCTGCCCGTACACTCTAAACTAAACAGAACAACACACACACACACACCCCCACAAAAAAAAACACAACGAACATTCGGACTATATTGACATTTTTACAGTTCTGCCAGCAGAGGACACCCACGAGGCCTCAGGGGTCGCCCCGCATGAACCAAAGTCCAAGGCCTCGGCCCGCTTGACGTAGCTTGAGCAGCCGGTGGTCTCACAGTACGAGGACCAGGCGTCCCGCCTCGACTTGGCACAGCCGATAGGCGGCCCCCCCGGCC